AGGACATTTACACATTTTATTGATCGCCCAAAATGTAATCTTTTCTAAGGTCTATAATTTAGTAAATTTTATTTATACACCCTTGTTCTTATTTCACTCTTGTGTAAATTAGGTCATCTACGTTGTGACCCCTAGATTAATATGAATGATTTTTACCAAAACCCAATAAAATGTGCGCATTCATCAAAAATCGATGTATGGTAATGGAGATAGCAGTGACACACACACACACACACACACACACACACACACACACACACACACACACACACACACACACACACACACACACACACACACACACACACACGAACTGCCAAGACTGCCATTGTGTGCTTCGCACATGGGAGTCAAAAAAATTAAATATACATTTCCCATTATGACTTGACTTTGAACGAACTATGTCAAGGCAGGTCAGGGAAATGGCAATGAATGGACAGATCCCAAAACATTCCTGGTGTCAGACTTCATTTGACAGAGACTAATAACTGTCCAAAGGAATAAATAAGACATTCAAGCCAAGCCAGCATCTCGATGCAGGTAACAAACCTGGCTAATGTTCCAGGGTCTGATTAGAATTTAATGGCAGGATATTACAAATTGTAATTTTATATGGCAAACCATGAGCATCTTGCTTATTTAATCAATTTTGCAACAAGTATAAGCTGGCTCATGGTGGCAGCTGTCTAAAAATGCAACAGCTACCCCCTCCCCAAATGGCCATGCTTTTCTACATCAACCTTGGTCTCCAATTTTAAGTGTCTTGAAATCAGACCATTTTGAAATGGGACAACATTCATGCACATAAAGTAACAAAATTCTTCGCTGTAATAAACTATCAACTTCAAACAGTCATGTAGTCTGCATGCCAACAAGTTATGTTAGTGTTTCCTCAAGGTCATTTGTCACATGTCCAATCGATTTGGAATGGTTTAAATTTAATCAAGTTGTAAGAGTATGAAATTGTTTCTATAATAAAACACCACCCTATCAAATAAGCATTTTTGGGTGACCCAAAAATAATGTGCTCAAATGAAATCTCACATTTTATTGATTTACCTCCTGCATAATAGAGTAATACAAAGACCAGATCTATGCAGACAGATCGTCAAACTTCTGGAAATGGGACACACTAAATATAACAGTTGGTTGCTCAAGTCGAACAGGAAATATCGATTAGAAATGATAAATACCAAAACTGAATGCTACTACCATTTATTTATTATTGTGTAAAGCATAAATATCAAAAGGAAGGAAACCAAATTCGCATTTTCTGAACGGAAATTTCAAAAGCATTTATCCATATTTCAGCATGGAAATTTGCCTCAAATCCTATAGTTCTGTAAAAATGACAAAAGCTTCAACGAACTTAATTCTTGGTGAACCTTTCTTGCATTGCTGCTTAGTGGCATTTCCAAGTTCCTGCACTGATGTCTAAGACTACTTCTACATACATAACTTATACCTACCTAACAATTGTCTACAATATCTAAAGCAGATGTCGAAATAAATATTCCATGAATGCAAGTGTTTGTTTTAACTTTTTCCACTTTCAATCTTAACAGCAACTCTGGCTAGACAACCATTGTCACAAGAGGTGTGGGAGGTAACAGAATACACTTGTTACAACATTTTACCAGCCCTGTTCTGATCACATTTTGGTTGGTTACGTAGATGTTAGATATTAGTAACATGGGGAATACATTATATAGATGCACCTGGACAGAATTGTTTCATCACAAGCATACAATTCAATTGAGTATTCCATAGTGGTATTTTGAATATGCAAATTTTCAATGGTTGAATGCTGAGTCACGTCACTTAAGAATCTTCCGAGGGATATTGCAAGGGAAAATTGATGGGGAGATAGCAGTTTTCATTGCTCTACTTGTCTAGATTTCCTAATGCAACCTTTTCTAGTTAATTTTTCTCAATCTGCAAATTTTTATTTATTATCTTTGGTCAAATCATGGAGGTAGAAAAGAAAAGGAGTGAGGACGCTATTTAAGCCCATGTTAATCTTATAAACATCCTTTGTCTTCACACTCTGGTTAGGCCACTTATTGTTTTTGTTTTGAAGTCGTTTTATCTACATGATGATAGCCGCTTATTTACACAAGAAAACGAGAGTAGAACTGAAAAAAATAAATTCCGTTTAAACATAGTCTATAAAATTGAATGTGCAAACCATAAATAAACGAATTGTGCATGCGCAATGACCTTTATCGGGTCATAAAGGTCATTTCACACTTGTAGGTACTGGAAATTCTGCATACGGACGATGTGCGATTACTTCTTTTCTGATATTTTTTATCGAAATAGTCGTCCAACTTTGGACATTGATTGAAAAAATCCCGCAAATTTCCGCAGTGAAATTTAAAAATACATGATAAGTTTATAACAAGATGTTTTGACAGGGCATTTTTCATCAGTGTGCAGAAAGTTCATAATTTTCAAATTAGATGCGATGTAGACTTGGAAGACATTCATCTAAATGTACTCATTTTATGCTTATTCTCAGAGTTTTGGTTAACCTTGTGCATTATGAAAGGTTTTAGGCAAGTGGAAAAATGTACAGTAAAGTTTACTATACAGGTCATATGCTGGAATTGAATACTATTGTATAGAACTGTTAGTTCACTGTTTGGTATTAGTATTATCTGGTTCAATGCTATTTTTCATAAGTAAATAATTGCTGTATTTCACAGCAGAGTATTTGGTTACACACCACTAAGGTGCTTGTCAAAATATTCAAATCCATACAAGGGTTTGATGAGCTCCACCTTACCATGGACACCATCAATAAACAGCTTTTACTTCATTGATATGCAACTCGAGCAATGCAAAGTTTTGCTAGGTAAGGATTCAACACATGAAATTTGGTGGGCTCAAATGCATACTTACTACAAATCAAGTTACTCAAGAAAGGTAAACTGAATATTGAAATGCGTTAACGCCGCTAAAAATTATTTGAAAATTTAAGAAATTAGCAAACACTTAAAATTTAGATATAAAAAGCCATTTGAATGTTTTTGAATTCAGAATTCCCCACTTCCTAATCTCCTTTCAAGAAATTATTTTTAATTTTCTAATCTGCATTGAAATTGATAGGTCATAGAAACAAAACAGAAGAGCCACATCTACTTAACTAAATTTGTATTCATTACATGATTGAGGCTGTAATGAACCAGGAGAAACCAAATGATGTGCATGCCAGTTACTCAAAATTAAATTGTGAGCATTATATTACTGCAAGTTTGAACATAAATCCATGGCTGTCATCTGAGAAAGTGTCTTGACTGCAAGGATTAGAACAAAAATAAAAATGTGTATTATAATACACCAGTTAGTGAAAAGTCACAGAAAGGACAAATGTCAAGGTCAATCAGAAGAATGGAAGAGATGTCAAAAAGATGGAATTACCTAACAAATATATTGGTTGGCTGCCTGCCAGGAGCATAAATTACTACCACACAATTGAGCCATAATATGAGGAAGGGCATTTCCTTATTAGACCCTCAAACAGTTTTCAGACGATACAAAGCTTGGTTACAGACAAATGCACACTAAAAATCATTGAACAATTTATATATCAGGGAAGTTGTCCTTCAGAAGCTGGCAACAAAAACACAAAATTGACTGATACAAATCAATGCAGACCTTTAATTTATTTGTTTAAATACAATTTAAAACGCCTTGCCAGAGAAACACAGGAGGATGTGTAATAGTTAGTCATAATGATTCAATCTGGTCGATTAAAATCATTTTTAGATGTAGCATGGAAACACCAGACTTAAATTACGAAACCAGGCACAGTAGCATATCTCTTATTGTTGAAAATGCAATAAGAATTCACACTCCCGCCCCTAGACTTCCTTCCACAGTATTCAGACCCCCTCCCACATCATGCCAAGCCCATATCCAGTGTTTAGATCATTATAACATGAACAGGATATGAAGAGAATAAACTGAAGCTGCTGAGAGCACAATTTGTACAAGTAGCTGGAACAACATGTGACCCGTTGGATTGAGAAAAATTTAATGAAATTGTTATTAATTTAAAATGGATGTGATTTAGTATTGACAACCATTTACATTTTAGGAAAATAGTGTGCTGCAACAAAAACACACTACAGTTATTTAGCAGCTATACATTTATTGTCTGATTTATGAGTTGTATGTACTTGTCAGTGTCACCAGACGCACAACAGATAGTTCCTTGGAGACTAAGAGGAAGCAAAAAATATTATTTATTATTAGCATAGTGCAGATAATTTTAAGTTGGACAAATACAATTTGTTAGGCAAACGGCAAACCACAGAAGGCAAGACAGTTTAAAAGAGCCGAGTCATCTGCTTTTTTTGACAGACCAATGCGAAAGTTGTACGCAGAGGCGAGACAGGCAGCGACAAATGCCTACAATAATTAAAATGAAGCAGTTGAAAAAAAGTGTAATAACTAGTCAGAGGCTCTAGGACGTGTCCTAATATTAGCAATGCTAAACACACTAACAGTCTGTACAATTTAAAAGCTTTCATCGAGACAACTCGGTCACGCCCCTGGTCACGAAACCCTGGTTAGTGATGAACCCCCACCACACATAATATTTTTCAGTTAAAATAAGATCATTTGTTGACTAGTCTACATTTATTCCACCATTTTCGTGAAGCTTGGATGTAAAATAATAACACGACAGCACAGAACGTTCTAGAAATGTCACGTCAGACATGTATTGGCCGCCATGTTGAAAAAATCCTTCTCGTCATGCCACTTGCTCGTCTGTCCCGACTTCCGCCAAAGTACCGACACTGATCGTGTACTCAACCGACTAACCAACTACATTTAATCAGAAAACGTGCAGAAAACCATGTCGTAAGCTGGAAAGGACCGTTCTCTAGGGTCAAGAACTGCAAGAATGTGCAAGGCAATTTGACCATGAATGACCCCGGAAAGTTGCTGAAGCCGAAGCATGTAAAGTAAAGAATAAATAAATTACTCACCACAAAATCTTTGCTTGTAGCCCATGTTGAACCGTCATGTCCTAGAATAGAAGCTTTAGCGATTTTTTCTGTTCCAATAAGGTGTGTATCAACGTATGTTTGCCAACTCATTTTGATTTCTTGTATAAATCTTTTTTCACGTACCGCTGTAGACGTTCAGATACTTGCGGAAGACACGCAGCGCTTCAGAGCGGAAGCTTCAAAAATGTCACGTGGACAAGGGTTGGAAATATTCGACCGCAGCTACTTCCTTTACTAAGAAATATGGAAAGCTACCCAACTAGCTTAAACAGTCGTCAAGCTGGAAAAATAATAGTTCTGTACGCTATTGTATGCAACGCTGTCTGAGGTGGATAAATAACCGAAACACGTTAATTAAGTTCGGGAACTACATTAGTCGAGTGGAAGGATATACAACCCCGCCTATGATGATTCAGTCCTTAGAGGGGGGTGTGAATAATTTTTCCGAACTATGATGTCAGCTGTAAACATGCATAAACAAGTAGCCGAGAGGAACAATATTCTTGATTGGATGAATATAGTTTCGGCGCCACTTTCAGGCGTGCCCGTTTTCTGGTTAACGCTGTACAGTATGGGAAACATCCCTTAAAGCAAAGTAATTTATGACGAAGCATGGAACTAAACACATCATGGACAAACCAGCCACGTGGTAGAAATAATACAATCTGCAGAGTCGAACGATTTGTGTGTGTGTAAATCTAAATAACTAAACCATATTTATCAATTTTGATGCTTTTTATATGTATACTTTGCTTACTTATTGTTTTATCTGTTATTGATGTTTGTTACTTGTTGTTGTATGTTTATTGACCATAGATAATGCATGGAGGTAAATACTATACTATACTATACTATACTACACTACACTACACTACACTACACTACCCTACCCGACCCGACCCGACCCGACCTGACCTGGGTACGACGTTAAAACTGCATCCGGTTGTGGAGTTTTTGTACTTGGGAGAATGAGGTTACCTTTTACCACAACTACCTCCAGGTCACCCTTGGGCAAGGTGTAGCACCTGTCAGCCTTGGGTGCCAACTTCCCACATAAAATGTTTGGTTGACGTCAGTAAGGGCATACGGTCATAAAAACCTTGCACCAACAGATCCGCATAGGTGGACAATATTTTATGTAAATATGTATATATACGTT